CTATTTGTAATAGCCAGAACCTGGAAACAACATAGATGCCCGTCAATGGAAGAATGGATGAAAAAAATGTGGTACATATACACAATGGAGTACTACTCAGCAGGGAAAAACAATGAAAGCATGAAATTTGCATCCAAATGGATGGAACTAGGAAAAATCATCCTGAGTGAGGTAACCCAATCCCAGAAAGACAGTCATGGTATGCACTCACTCATAAGTGGATTCTAGATATAAAATAAAGAACAATCAGACCACAACCCATAGAACAATGGAGGCTATAAATATAGCATGGAGGTCCCTAGGCCGACTGTGGCTTATAATAAATTTCGGTTTTACTCAATTACTGAAAAAAAAAAGACTGTTTAGCAATTCATCTTATACACTTCCTTGCTGAAACTCTGCCTTTCTTCTTCCCAGAGACCGCTGTGTCCCCAGAAGTCCTGCCTAACTTCTTCCTGCCTAACTAGGGCCATTCAGTGCTTTATTAAAACAATCAGTGAAAAATCTTCACACTTTGTAAAGGAATATTCTGAAACAACATTCACTTTGATTTCAAGTGGCTTTTAAATTTAAATCACTTAAATTTTTATGTGCCTGTCTCTGCCTCTATATTGTTGGGATTAAAGGCATATGCCTTGCGAGTGCTGGAATTAAAGATTTAAACCACCATGTCACTATAGATTCTTTATCTAGTTATTCTCATAGAATGCCCTGGTGTAATTTGATTCTACATATTCCTTCCTTTTTAGTTTTAGGGGTAAACTTTCTAGTTTTTCAAATGTATAACTATCATTGTTGCTGATTTATTCTGAATGTATTCCCTGAAAAAATTTTAATATTCTAATCTAAATTAAACATGACAATTTGTCCAATATTTCATTATTTTCAGAGATTTTTCTCTTTTATGCTCTTACAAAATACATAAAGTTTCACAGCCTTGCTAAGTTTTGCCGGGTGCTGCCATTTCCATCCATGCCTCCCATGCCCCGCTGTCTTTGCCATTCACCTGCCAGTAAGTGCTTTTCCATTTTGATTGCTGTTTAACTGTGCCACTGCACAGGCCCATGAACTGCAGATGTTCCTTTGGCCTCCTTTATCTGTTTGTCTTCTATCCAATTGTGGTTTAATGATTTTGTGGTCTCTTCTTCCTCAAACTTGGCCATTCCATCTCAAGACTAGCGGGTGACACTTTCCATTTTAGTTTGAGATCCATCAATGGTTGATGAGCCATCAGTAAACCATGACCTAGCCAAATGATTTCACCATTCTGTTGGTCCCTGCAGTTCAATAGTTGCCTCTCTTGGCGGAGGGGTGAGCACATTAGGCAACTGAACTATTTCTTCAGTGCTAACCATATCCCAGCAACTAAGGAATTCTGATATGTACCATTTCTACTGTAATAACTTTCCTTCCATGCTGAGGACTCCGACTTTGAAGAGATCCAATCCACCATTGTAAGGGGTGCCCAGATCACCATAGGATAGTTGGCCTTCACTATCCGGTTGTCCATGCCTCAAAAAAATGTGCAGATTTTTTTTTCTGAGAGGATATTTATTCTCCTAATATGGAAAGTGTTTGCAATAGAATCCATATGGTAAATGTAGGTGGACTCTTTTTGCTTTATGAAGAGTCCATAGATGCCAATTAAGCAATAAATATGATGGTATCTAACGTCAGGATACCATCTGGTTAAACAGTGGTCAAGGTTGCATGCACAGAGAAGAGCATAAAGGCAGCCACAAAAGGTGCTCTTTGCTCCCGTCCCCATTGGAAATTAGCTGCCTTTCTAGTAATTCTGTAGAGGATTTATTACAATAACCTGTAAACACTGCATCTGACTTTTGACCCTGAGTAGTGGCATTAAAGGTGTGAACTACCATGCCTTTAAAAAAAAGTAAGCCGTAGAGATCTGTGTCTCAGCAGGGATGAAAAGCATGGGCTATCACTGCTCTCTCAAACATCTTAGCTCCTAATCACTCCAACTCTGAGAGAATTAGAAAAACAGTTTGAGCTGTAGTAACCCTTTGAATTTACTTTAATGAACTTAAATCTCTTAACTGTGATTTTTAACAGCAAACAATAAAATTGTCCTTTTTGTTTAAGAAGAAAACTCAAAAGCTGATGTCCAAAATGTCATGGGTCACGTTACAACCTACAGTCTAACACTGTAGCATGGAATTGACATATGTGATACAAGAAAAGCCATGTTTCATTTCATGCCAGTATGAAAAGTGTGCCATTGGTAAATTATCATTTGAAAATACATTTTTAAAAATTTTTCTTTGTCTGATCAAATGAAAGGCATTTGTTAGTCTTCATATTAGCTTGGATTGTATGACCAAGCTGTCTGATGAACTGTCACTTCTTATTAAGCAGGTCATTCCTATTCAAACCTTACCTTTATCAATCTTGATGGCATTGATCGCTTTTTTTCTCATGTGAAAATGAAGGCAAAATCTCTTCCCCAATGGAACACATATCCCAGTATCCATTCCGAGGTTAATATATCTTTAAAATACACAAAGTGATTTAATTCAGAAGCTCTTTGTACTATACAATACCTCTTTGTGCCTATTGTCTGTTCTCATGGGCATATAAAAATATGAAGTTAATAAACCACTCTGTGCTAACTTTGGGAGTTTTGATGCTGACAGATAATGATTGGATCAGATTTGATATTGGTGCCTCCAGAAGGCCCACTCAGAACATTTCCCAGAGTCAAAGGGTTACCTTTCATGATCTGAATTCAGCAGTACAATGCCAGGCTTTGCAATATCTTCTGCGTACTCCTGGAGGCTGAGACCTTTTTTAATTATCTATAGAAAAAATGATGGGTATTCTATGCAGGGGCTTTACCTATGAGCCACAACATTCCCTAGATATCTTAAATATCGCACTGTACTCATGTTTATCGCCATAACTGAGTTTTGGGTCCAGAAGCTCATACTAAGCCAATCTGCCACATTCCTGCCATCATCCCATGTTCCACACGGGTTATGTTTCCCTTTCACAGTGAGCTTACACTTTCCTGGTGGATACTTGTGTTGTAGTTGGCATATCAGAAGTTGTAACATATGAAGTGTTGCAGAGTAATGGGAATCACAGGGAGAGTGTAGGCAGTCATGGGGTGATGGGGCTAGCTGAGTACCATTGGTAATGTCCAGGCTGATTTCCCAGTGCAGGAGATCTGGACATCATCCTGCAAGCTGAGGAAGGTGGTCCCTAAGGCTTTATCTTGCAGAGGTCAATGATGGAGACTGAATGGCTGAGCTGTCTCCTCAACAGCCCTGGGCTTGCATCAGCTGCATCTATAGCAAGACACAACCACACACCTCTGTACCTAAATCAAAACCTGAACTTCATTGGTCACAGATGGCTGAAGCAGGGACATGTCCCTGAGGCACCTGGTCCAGGCTGGATCCAGCAAGCTATCCATCTCTGTACAGAGATGATTTTCTCTATGTCCCATTACCTGACCATGATCCATAGAGCCAGTAGTTACTAGATTCTCAGCAGCAAGACTCTCATTTGGCCTTTCCGTGTTTCCTCCTCCTATGAGCTGGCCAGGATAGCCTGCTGCACCTTAAAGGTTCCTTTAACACAAAGGCTTTTTTGGAAGTTCTGTAATTACTGGGGTTTCATGAGCGGCCACCCGGAGCCAGGATGCAACCAGGGACCTCTTCACTGGAGCTCGGTACAGGGTACCAGATTCAGGACAGGAGCTGAACCAACTCAGAACTTGTGTTTGAATGCCCCAGGTGCTGAAAATGTTCCTCATTTAAATGTTTGGGAAGGAAAAAATTCAAACAATTACTTTGTTACCCTTGAAGGGATAACAGATCATGTTTTGATGTTCATCAAATCTTGGCATCCAGATTGGCCTCTTCAGGGGGGGAAATATTCAGCTTTTAGGGATTTGAACTTGATCTCAGGTAAAACAAAGCACAAAAGGAGTGGAATATATAGGGCCAGAATGACAAACAGGAAAAGTAAAGCAATATGTGGACAATACAGCCATGAATTTATGGGGGTGTGATTTGTTACCACAATCAAAAACACAGATTATCTTTTAAGGACTCAAGGCCCTGTGTACACACAGCACAAATAAGCCAGGCACTGTCCACTGTCTGAACTTTAGGTCAACAAATACTTTGTCTATTTGGCTCTAGAGAGAAAGCCACAATGGCTCCCCTGTCCTTAGAGTCTCCATTGGCACATCTCGGGGAATTCTGGAGTCTGGAGATGCTGTGCTATGCCCAATAACGATAAAGTCAACTTGGAGTATAATATCAATTATGAAATGCCCAACTTTGACCTGTGACCTCCACACATGCACATTCTCACAAAATGATACAACTGAGGGCTTGTGAGATGATTCTGGTGGTAAAGATACTTGCTGCCAAGCCTGTTTTTCTATCTGAGATCTGTCCCTGCGAACCACATGGTTGAAGGAGAACATGGATTCAGGTAAGTTGTCCTCTGATTCCCACACATGCATGCTCTCACACCTAAATCAATAAATACATGCAGACTTAAAAATTTTATGAGTACACATGGTATACATGGGTTCAAATCATGCTAATGTCCATTTGTTGTCTTTCACCTTTGTTGAGTGACTTCCCGACCCTATGCCTGATATTCAGACAGATGTAAGTGCACCACACTTGTTACCATAGTTACAATAACCAGTTGGAACAATACCCAGAATTGCTCTAGCCATGACAGTTTCCCTTCTCTGTTTCAGTTTCCCATGTGAGAATTGGAAGGATTTTGCAATACTTTGCCACCTGGGAGGATTTTCAGTTTTGTGTAATCTCAGCCCAGTGTGCTCTACAACCGAGCAAGACGGAAGCCTCTTTTGCATCATTCTCCTTGTCCTTGTCCAGGGACTTCCGAGCTCAGCTCTGGCCCTGGCATGCTCACTCACCATCTATATGAGGCCACTGCAGCTCCAACTAAGCCATGACTATGGACTCAGCAGTGTATATCTCTCTCTTCATAAGCAATGCCTGACACTGCATTTGTGGCCCTAGCCCACATGAGACTCTCAGGACATTTTGACCCCCAAGATTGAATACTGGGACTCTTCCCATCCATGGTGAAGCATGGTTCTGGATTCTAATCCAACCCAGGAACATTCTGATCTTGTCATGCACCTCTGGCTACTACCTGTGAGCCCCAGGACACAGTTAGCCACTCTGTGCTCTGGCTTCCTCACTCCCTAGTCCAGCCCTGTTCCCCAGGTACTTAGGAAACCAAGCCAAGGGGCAGGATTTAAGGGCTACAGTGTGAGTTCTAGGCCATTCTAGGCAACTGAAATAGACTCCATCTCAAAACACACACACACAGTTTTTTAACAAATGTTTGTGTTTGCAGTTTTGGTTTGGTTTTGGAGCAGGTTCTCAGTGTAGACCTGTATATGAAAAACTCAGCTACATCAATGTTTTCATATCAAATGGCAGTCATTGGATAGAATACTTGCTCAGCACACACAAGACCTTTGCATAAACAGGGCATGGTAATAAATCCTGTCATCCTAGTAACTGGAGGTGGAAGCAGAAAGATCTGAAGTTCATGGTCAGCCTGAACATCATCAGCCTGTTTAAAAAACAAACAAACAAAAAATAAACAACTAACAAAAAAATATCAGGGCTCAGTGCTCATTATGGCATGGCTCAGCAGGTAAAATTGCTTGCAACCAAGACTGATAGACCTGGTCTGGTCCTCAGAAGAGACGTGGTAGAAAGGAAGAACTGGGTCACACAGGCTGACATCTGATTTCAAACTATACTATTAATGTGGACTCACAAAGATAACAAAAATAAAATGAATCTTAAAAGAAATAAAAGGGGATGAGAAATTGTTTAGCAGTTTAGCACCTGGCATGGACTGCACGGTGACCATTGCTGTTGGACAAAGTTCCAGCATTTCCCCATTGCCGATCTCAATTCTCCAGCATCATTTTTATTTCAATTTTAACAATTCTCACTATATGTTATGGAGTTTCTTTATGCCTTTTACTGTGGGAAATGTATTTTGCAGGCTATACTAGAGGATGGAACTTATACATAGGCAAGGCAGTCTCTTTAAACAAACTTCTTGGAAAAAATCCCGACCAACATGGAACCACACAATGTGAATACTATGCCTACTGCCACACAAGAAGCCCCATTGCATCCCACTGATTCCACCAAACATAGAGAACTTAATGATGTACTAACTGGATACACCAAGTTCCGAGGATTAAACCAACTATGAAAGAAAACAATGAGCTCACATCCAGAAAGGAATTAAGATACTTGCTGAATTTATCACTTTTTGTCTCAGGAAAAATGCTGTAATGAGGTTGATGGCTGCTTTTATCCTGGAATCATTAAGGCTGTTTTTAACCTGCTTGAGTTTAACCTAAGATTCAGTTATAAAGCATGAAATGTGTAGTTGTTTTTCAATAAAGCAGCAGCTATATTGCTTCACGCTCAGATCATGGCAGTCTCCTTCCACTACTGATGCCTGATGCCTGATCTCTTCTTCTGGACCTGAACCCCTATGACACTAGACTCCAGCAAGCACCTCTTATAGAACACACAATTCAGTTTCCAGCTCACACCATTCACATCTGAAATTACCACATTGATTACATCTATATGTTACTGTCCAGTATGAATTCTTTCATGACTGTGAAGATTACTCTTCTTTGAAAATGCTTTACAACATTGGTCACATTTATAGGGTTTCTCTCCAGTATGAAGTCTTCCATGACTTAGAAGACTACTCTTCTGTACAAAGGCTTTACCACATTGATTACATTCATAGAGTTTTTCTCCTATATGAATTCTTTCATGACTTAGAAGGCTACTCTTCTGTACAAAGGCTTTACCACATTGATTACATTCATATGGTTTCTCTCCATTATGAATTCTTTCATGACTTTGAAGATGAGTTCTCACTGCAAAGGCTTTACCACATTGATTACATTCATAGGGTTTCTCTCCAGTATGAATTCTTTCATGATTGTGAAGATTACTCTTCTTTGCAAATGCTTTACCACATTGGTCACATTTATAGGGTTTCTCTCCAGTATGAAGTCTTTCATGACTTAGAAGACTACTCTTCTGTACAAAGGCTTTACCACATTGATTACATTCATAGGGTTTCTCTCCAATATGAATTCTTTCATGACTTAGAAGGCTACTCTTCTGTACAAATGCTTTACCACACTGATTACATTCATATGGTTTCTCTCCATTATGAATTCTTTCATGACTTTGAAGATGAGTTCTCACTGCAAAGGCTTTACCACATTGATTACATTTATAGGGTTTCTCTCCAGTATGAATTCTTTCATGATTGTGAAGATTACTCTTCTTTGCAAATGCTTTACCACATTGGTCACATTTATAGGGTTTCTCTCCAGTATGAATTATTTCATGGCTGAGAAGATAACTCTTTGTCGCAAAAGCTTTACCACATTGATTACATTCATAGGGTTTCTCTCCAGTATGAATTTTTTCATGACTTTGAAGATGACTCTTCTGTGCAAAGGCTTTACCACATTGATTACATTCGTAAGGTTTCTCTCCAGTATGAATTCTTTCATGGCTGAGAAGATAACTCTTCCATGCAAAGGCTTTACCACATTGATTGCATTCATAGGGTTTTTCTCCAGTATGTATTCTTTCATGACTTTCAAGATGACTCTTCCATGCAAAGGCTTTACCACATTGATCACACTCATATTGTTTCTCTCCAATATGAATTCTTTCATGACTGCGAAGACTACTCTTCCCAGAAAAGGCTTTGCCACATTGATTACATACATATGGTTTCTCTCTTATATGAACACTTTCATGACTGTGAAGATTTCTCTTCTCTGCAAATGCTTTATCACATCCATTATATTCATATGGTTTCTCTCCAATATGAATTCTTTCATGTCTGTGAAGATCACTCATCTGTATAAAGGCTTTACTACACTGATTACATTCATAGCATTTCTCTCGAGTTTGAATTCTATGTACTTGATGATAAAGACTGTGAAATGTAAAGGCTTTATAACTTTGATTATACTCATTGGGTTTTCCTTCCAAATGGGTTTTTTGGTGTTCTTCTAAAGAGCAATCAGATATAAAGGCTTTATCATGTTGATTACATTCATAGAGAGCCTCTTTGTTACTGGTTCTTTGGTGTGTTTGAAGATGCCTGTCAAGCATAAAGCCTTTAGTAGATGACTCGCATTTATTAATTTCTCTTCCTACATGAGCTTTTTCACATCTTTGAAGAGAACTTGAAGAACTTGGGGTCTGACAACACTGATTGCATTCATAACATTTTCTTATACTGTGAGCAACACTACATGTGCACAGTGAACCAGTAGAGAGAGATGAATTTCCATATTCCTGGTACTCATAAGGTTTTTCTCCAATGAGAGTTTTTTGGTGAATTCCCACTGAAGTTGGGAAACCAAGTAATTGTAAACTTGCATCACAGTTATCATGTCTTCTCATAGTGGGGACTACCACATATCTTCCAGTTGTTCTGAGAGAGACAGAACTACAATGCTTCTTTCCATGTCCCTTATGCTCACATGGATTGTATCCAGAGTGACAGATGACACGCCTGCTAAAGGAAGATGACAAATAAAAGGTTTTCACATTGCATTCACATAGTCGAATGTTTTGTGTGTCATACAGATGTGGTATAGAGATTCATGTTTCTACACCAAGACAACCTCCTGGTCTGTCATAAAGTGCTCCTCTCACTAAACTATGCTAAATCACGCAATACAAGTATATGAGCAACACTATCTTTAATACCAAAGGTTTGCTTATAAAAGGTCTTGGCCATATACTAATGCCCTCATCAATAATATGTTAATTGGAGGGCATGATGGTAATTGGATGGACAGTTCTACAAAATGCCTCTCACATGGCTATGATTGAAACTGTGACATCTACTATGGCATTGTTTCCTTGTCTTGTCCTTAAAAGGAATACTTTGCAAACAGTGATCAGCTACCTGACATTGGAGTACATGGTGTTGTGATAATTTAATAATCATCATAAAGTTGTGCCAATTCACACAGTTGCTTTTCATTAAAGTTCAGGGTCCATTAACATTTTTTTCAAACTGTTTAAAATCTCCTGCTCAGGCAGCCCCATTGTAGAAAGCCCGCCATCCATAGCTTCTCCCACAGCGATGTCTGGGACCATGCCTACCAGCTATTTAAGACCCATCCCATATATCTGCCATGGGTGCTCTTGTGATCTGTCTCCTGCTTTCCTGAGAGCCACCTGGGAGTGCTCTCCTTTGGGCTGCCCTGTTTATTAAATCTGGATTTATTAATTCAGTTTGATTTGGCTTATTGCATCGGTGACGGAGGAACCCACCAACGGGAGGTCCAATATTTATCTTTGGTGCACTGGCCGGGGTGAGTAGTCCTTCCAAAACCATGTGGTGTGGCTGTGGAAGGCCATTCACTCTCTCTATCCACTCTACTTTTGCCACACTGAATGAACAGCTCAGTAAGCCTCCCAACCCAAACAAAAATGTCTTAGAGGTCTGGGACATCTCCCAACCTCCAGACTGCCTGCTGAGCCACTGCAGTGTCAGGTGACTCCGGCCTATTTCAGGGTAGCAAGAGTTGCTGCCCTTGGAATTCCCCTGTGTGAGAGAGACTTCACCACAGAATCCACCCCTCACACAAATCCCAAAGGCGATTTGTGTACCTGCCCTCACAACCACATCCCCAGCATATGGCTTGTGAATGGGTACTTGCTAAGTGCAAGTTCAGTCCCCAGAAACTCTGGGGTTTTCTCCTCCAAATTGGGGGTGCAAGAATACTGCCCCCATTCCTCTCTCTACCCTGTTACTCTGCATCCTGTTCCCAGCATATAGATTGGCCACACTGTGATTCTAGTGCTCCCATTCCTCTTGTTCCCCAGTTCTATTTGTCTGTCTGTTTGCTCTCCTCTTCTTTCTTCCCTCCCACCAGAGATGCTGTTGCCACTACATCACAACCACCACAACCACAACCTCTAACCCCCACCACCTCCACTACCACCTGCATCACCACCTCCACCACCATCACTGCTATCACTACCGCCACCACCTTGCTGCAGCCAAAGGGGTTCCCTGTTCCCATACTCCCCACCCCTAAAATTCTACCTGCCCACTCCACCCTTAAACCTGTTCTACATCAATACACTCTGCTACTCCGTCCTCCATCATAAAAATCTTTTTCCAAAATTCTCAACCTACTGCTCTGACTTACTCAACTGGGCAGCATGTGCTGCTTCTCTGTTTTTCAGTTTCCCTCTGCAGTGCCTTCTTTGGGATCCGGGTATCAGGCTGCCCAAACTGATAGGAGCCTCATTTAAAAAAATTGTTTCTGTTAATGATCCTGCTTACTAATTATGTGTGGTGGAAATGTGTGAATGGTGTGGTCACACATGTGTGTTTCCAACTAGTTTTGAATGCCTGAGTTTACGTGTCCTGAATTTTACCTGCTAATTGGGTATGTTTTAAAATCTGTAAGGCTTGTGACTCCAGATGGAAACTGTTCTAAAGAACATCACCAGCTGTCATTTTGATTGAGGTTAAAGAAATACTTCACCACCATCTTTACTAAGGGTAATCACTTGGACAGGCCCCACCAAGGAGACATTAGGTCTCCAATATAATTTGGGTTAGGATATATTTCTGTTTAATAATTTCTATCCTATCCTAAAAACAAGGTTCATTAAACAAGATTTAAAACAATGCTGCTTTTGATCATTGATATTGAAATTAAATTGTTTGCAATGTTAAAAGTTGGCTTAGCCTGATGTACCTTAGGATCACCACTGAAAATTATAACTGAATCTTCTGGCTTTGCTAACATTGGTCAGCTGTAACTAATTGGGTAAACTGTATGTTTAGACTTAACTTACATATGCCCTCAAAGTTAAACCTAAACAACATTTGTCCTGTTTAGATATACCTAACAGATTTTGTTCCCCCATTCTCAAACACTCTCAGAGATCTGAGAATATGGCATCTAATAGAAAAGCTTTTTAGGAGACTCCTGGAAGCATCCTGTATCTTCTCCAAGAAGATGGATGGCCACAGAAGAACTTCCACCTGGAGGCTTGCCTCAAATGTAACAAAGCCAGCCACACATTGAAAAACTGCTTTACACCTTTAACTGCTGCTGAGATCATGTCCAGACATTGAATAAGGGGGGCAATGGGGGAACGATTGTGCAACTCTTGCAAGACAGGTAGGCTCATTTCCCCAAATCTCTACTCCAGAAAGAATCTGTTGGATCCTCTGTGCTTGGCCTCTGAACAAGTGCTACCTCTGGGACTTGTCGCCCAGTAACCACAGAGAGACTTGGGACTGGCTGGGTAACTGGAAATCTGGTTCACTCCTGCTCATTTACTTATCCTTCTCAGATCTCATGGTGTTTGATGACTAGGGTACTAAGAGATTTGCCAGTTTAACAGCACCCCCAATCTCAAGGCTACAAGCATCTTAGTAGCTCATTAGTACATTTTCTATAAAAATACAGACAGGTGTACCTCATTCACAGACTCCATGGTACAGGATAAACTATTTTCAGATATAACTTCAGAGGTTCAAAGTTTTAGCTTTGATAAATGCAGTTTTGACAAACTGATAAAGCATTGATTACAAACAGTTTACAGGGTTCCTTAAATTTCTGTGGATTTTACTGGTCCGGCTTTTAGAGCTAGATTAGCATTAGAGAAGATATAGAACCCTGCAGGCATGTTCAGCTCCCTCCTCCTTCACTCACACAACCTCCTTTCTTCAGTGAATTTAGACTTGAAAATATTCATGCCTTTTAACCCAAAGTCATAGGTTTGTACTATGACACCAAGATGTAAATCTGTTCTAGTAGTTTTAGAGACACCCGAAGGTTCCTGGGAAAAGGGCTCTGCGACATTGTAAAGAAGTCTGGCCTGATGGAAAATAATATCAGTTTCCAGAGCTTATTTTTGACCTCACCCATTTTGAGCATATTCCGGAGGTTCACTCCTCCAGCCTGGGCCAAGGAAAACCCAAAGGGGGGCCTGCAGATACACCACTTCCTGCAACATCTCTGAGGGTGCCAACCACCAACCAAGGATGCCAACTGGACAAATACTAACAGGTGGATTTCACCCACATGCCTGCTCATAAAAAGGCTCCATATCTCTTAACTCTTCCTGACACACTTACAGGATGGATGCTCTCCCAAACTCCAGAAAAACAGCAGATGCTATGGCTCAAGTATTCCTGGAAAACATCATGCCTAGATTTAGCATGCCATCTCCCCAAGCTCCTGGGACATCACTGCTGGTACCACCACTCCACACACAAGTGGGCACCTACCCATCAATTGAAACCTTGTTTTCCAAGATGTCCCAATTAAGGGCATATTTGCCCAGATGCCTCATTCATTCACCCTTGACTCTTTTGTACAACCAGGACACTTCTCAGTTCCATTCTTTCTGGCAGTCTTCCTACTACCAATGGCTATCCCTGTTCATAAGGCCAGTGATAAAAAGCTATTGTTTTTCTCCTAGCAACCTGCATTCTCCGCCTCCTCAAGAACAGATGCCTGAGGTCTCCTGGATCGCAGCTATCCACATGCTTCTCCACCCAAACCCTGGCTGAGCATGGGTCACCTGATTCCCAACTCCCCCCTCCCCACATGGTCCCATGCTAGCACAAAGTGGACAGACTTGAACCTGCACCTATATATACTCAAAAAAAGGTGGGATGTTTAGAATCTCCAGCTGAGGGGGCCTCATTCCAGAAAGCCCACCATTGCCGCCTCCTCCCCCAGAGATGCCTGGGGCCATGCCCATGCCTACTGGCTATTTAAGACCTGGCCCATAGATCTGCCATAGAGCTCTCCTGTTCTGTCTCCTGACTTCCTGAGAGTCCCTGGAGTGCCCTGCTTTGCTATGCTCTGTTTATTAAATCTGGATTTATTAATTTGGTTTGATTTGACTTATTGCATCAGTGAAAGAGTAACCCAGCAACCAGGAATCCAGTACTTATCACAGACATACATTTATATCAGCTTACACATGAAAATTACCTGCCATGTCTTGTAGAATTTGGATGATGTTCTTCAATATTGTGGTCTTCCCATTTGTACCCTAAAATACAGTACCAGAAAATGTGATACATTACTGGAAATTAGGAACAATTCGAATTACTTCTTTCATGAACCTTAGAACAGTGCCTGATATATTCACCAGATTTATCCTTTTTTAACATTTAAAATTATAGGAGAGCACCAATCTCCAAGAAAGGCTTCTTCCCTTAAGTTAAAAACTGACAGAAAGCTCACATTCTTACCTATAATAGTGAGGTTCCAGTAGGTTTCCAGCATCACATCTTTGTAGACACTCTTCTGGGAAGGATCCAGCAAAGCCCACTCTTCATGAGTGAAGTTCACATGCACATCCTCATAGGTCACTGCATCCTAAAGTATCTCATATATGTACATAATTGAAATGGTGAGATTGACTGTATTGTAAATATATACTTCATTGAGAGTATATTTACATAATATGTGCTTGATATATTCTATGACATGGGTCAGTAAATGTCAAATGCAGGCACAAACTCATTTTGAAAGGAAACATCAAAAGAGAATGACACCTTTCATTCAAGTGTTTACAAAATAGACTATGGCACAGCAGGAGAAATTCCTAGGAATATATAGAGACATGCAAACAGAGTAACACTATTTAGTATATATCAGCAGAATTTTATCAAATTTATTAACTTCAAGAAAGGATAGACAGACAATCGGGTAGTACACAACTCTAATCCAAACCCTCGTAGGGCAGAACCTGGTAAAATTTGTGATTTCCAAGCCTGCTTGGTCTATGTAGAGATTGCCAGGACAGTCAAAGTTACACAGTGAAACCCTGTCTCTAAAAAAAAAAAAAAAAAAAAAAAAAGTACTCAGGCCTCACTCAAAATTTCTCTCTAGAGTTAAACATTCAAGCCAGAGGCATGAGTGACCCCTATTGAACTGTAAGGCTAATAATTCACAGGAAACAAAGCATTTTTATTAAGTTGCTGTCTGGAAGATCAATGAGATCTCAAGAACATTAGTAAAGTAAATGCTGATCCTAAAACAGTAAAACAAACACCAAAAGAGAGGGAGTATGTAAAGATGGGTCAACAAATAAGATCACACATTTGAAAACAATATGGAAGTGTAAAAACTTACACAAAGGTAGGGACAATATTACACATCGACAATTCAGTGATTCAGGAGATCACTATTAATTTCATGAATGAATACATTCTTGTTTTGAAAAAAGACACCAATGCCAAAGTTCAAAAGTCATGACATGGATAAAATTCAGCCCAAGAGCAAATGCCTGACATGTATGAAAAATGGATTCAATCTGCCAAAAAATATAACCATAAAAATATCAATCAAGAAATACGGATAGGCAAGAAAGCAATTGCTTCTACTTTACCTTACATTATTTAAGAATGGAGTCTCTACTTTTGGTGATGGCATGCCTACTTGAGAAGGAAGGGGACTGCTCACTTTCAACAAAACAAAGAAATGTGGTGAGACTCCATAAAGGCTCCACGTCTTAAGGAGAAGTGACCAATTGTGACTCTAAGTCACAATTGTGATTGTAAGTAACCAATGAAGGCCAACACCAAAGACAAATGCTCAAAGTCAGCACACTACCTGGAAGATTTTTCATTCAACCCTCAATATTTTGACACAGGTCATGACAGGCTCAAGTCAAACCACTATGCACAATGCATTTAGTCTGATTTCAAAGATATTATGTGATAGTCTAATACTGTTTGAATGTTCACAGGTGAAAAGGGCAGTTTAAATGCTCTTGTGTACGCCAGAACCTCTTAAAGGAGCTGTATCTGGTTTTTGTTTTGTTTTGTTTTTACTATTTTTTTCAGCTTTCTCAGGCTGTATGTGGAAATTCTATGCACCATGTATAAACACCAAATGTACCAGGCATTTTTAGGGGGACACCAGCAAGCTCCCAAACCATGGCATAGAGACTTATTATTAGTTTTGAATGCCTGACCTAGCTTAGGTTCGCTTCTGGCTAGCTCTTTCCACTTAAATTAACCTGTTTCTCTTTATCTGACTTACACCCCCGGGCTTTGTACCTTTCATTCTTTCTGTATATCTTTCCTCTGTCTCCAGGTCTGCCTGGGGGCCGCCAGGCTCCTGGCCCTGGGTGTGTCCCTCTCTTTCCACCTCATTCTCTCCTTTCTTCCTCCCTCTCTTTCTTCTGGAGCATAGATTCTGCTCCTGTTTATTCTCTCTGCCCACCAGCCCTGTGTATCCCTCTTCCGCCCAGGTATTGGCCATTCAGCTTTTTATTAGACCACTCAGGTGCCTTAGACAGGCAAAGTGAAGCAGCAACACATCTCTTCATAATTAAACAAACGCAGGATAAACAAAGTTAACACATCCTTACATCATTAAACAAATGCAGCAGATACAAATATAACATCTTCACATAAGATAATATTCAGCATCATAAAAAAGGTACCAAATCTTTGTCCAGTTAAGATAATATTCCACAGCATATTACTCTTTCATTTAGCCTGACTTGATTTCCCAGGGCACGTGGAGAATACAGAGATAATATAACAAAATACTACATAACCTATCTTACTGACTCTTCCCTTGCTGTGAAGCACTATGACCAAGGCAACTCTTTTTGCTTTTGTTTTTCCAGACAGGGTTTCTCTCTGTAACAGACCTGGCTGTCCTAGGAACTCACTCTGTAGACCAGGCAGGCCTCAGACTCACAGATCTGCCTGCCTCTGCATCTCAAGTGCTGGGATTAATAGCAAGCAACACTACCACTGATTTAAACATTTTAACAAATTAAACCAAAAGACTGCAGTCCAGCAAACATGGAGAGTCACAAATCTGTCTGATCACAGCCCAGACCAGACTCAATTGGGAGAAAATGGGGCCAAGCAACATCTTTTGTTTTGGGACCAAGGAGAAGGTGAAAGACCTGGATGAGAACAACTGGCTTCAACGGTTACAATCAGTTGGTGAAACTCATCGATGGATTCAGCTTTCTCTGGTTAGGGTCATGGAATTCTTTCCTGTTCCCTAGCTGCATGAGGCCTACCTGCCTAGGACACAGGGACCATCTTCTCCTACATACATGCAAACCTAATTAAAAAGTCTTTTTAAGGAAAGGGTGTAACAGTGCACATTTAACCATGGAGAGTTTGGGATCCCACTGGGAACTGTGCCTAATGGAGGATGTGCTGCCTTAGCAGGGAGCAGGAATAACCTTGAGTAGAAAGCAACCATGTGTCTATCATGTCAATATTATATAATGACAATGCAGAACTGGAGCTACAGATACAGCAGAAGCTCAATTAAAGTCTAACAATTTAAGCTACAAACTAAATTGCATGAGAAACAAAAATAACATGAGAAAAATGTCATCATGAATGAAAAATTGATCAACACACGACTGAATCAATAGTACATAAATACTGTGACACCATCTGACTTCTAACTTTGGTTGAAATTGCAATAAAAACTGCACTGAACTGGGCGGTGGTGACGGCACACACCTTTAAATGAAGCACTTGGTTGTTTGAGGCCAGCCTGGTCTACAGAGTGAGTTCCAGGACAGCCAAGGCTACACTGAGAAAACCTATCTGGGGGGGAAGTGGGGGAGACAGTACTGTCTGGGAAAGAATAAAGAGATAACAGAACATGAAAGCAAACTTAGAAATAAAAACACAATAAATATACATTCAATTTTACCACATGAGGCCAGAAATCACAGTAAGTTTGGCCTTAATGATACAGGTAAATGAACCACCCTGGCATCCTCATGCAGATGTGTTAATGACACAGAATTTACGCCCTGCACAGAATTAACTGCAGACGGATCCTACACCTGAATGTTCAATGCTAAGTGCAGAACTCCTAGAAGACAGCAGAGTGACCAGAGCTCTGCAAGTTAGCAAATCTGCCTTCCCTAGCCATAGTTTTACTGAAAGAAATGAAAAAATTATCACCGCGATCAATATGCCTTGCATGGTGACTAGGATATTTCCGCACAAAGACTCACACTCTCCCATGCTCTCTGAAGGCCAAACCCTAGCGATAACTCACTCAGAGGTCTCCCTAATGCCTGAGAGATGCAGGGACCTCAGGGGATCAAAGGGAATCACTCCAGACACAGTGTCCTGACGCCATTTCCGCAGCCCCGGGGGGACCCCACACTGACTCCCGCGGCTTCTCCCGACGTGGGACGGGGGCCCCTCACTCACCATGGCGGATTCCGTGCTTACACGCTCTACTCGAGGCTCCCAGCAACTACTCACAGCCCAGTACACAGAACAGGAGATCCACCATTAACTGCTAAGCCCCAGACTATGCCGTAGGACGAATCCGGAAGTGCTCACCCCATTCTGATTGGCAGTCCATCTGTAGGTTCTGATTGGCTACGGAGGCCTGAGTGATCTAAACAGCTCCCTTAGGGACAGTGCTGTGAAGTGAGGTAGCCCAATGATTGGCAGTTCTGGCTTTCACCCCAGGCACAGATCTGCCCCAGTCCTGCAGAAATTGACATTGATGCAGAATTGGGGTTGGACTGCAAAGTCTTCCCTGAACTATTCCTGCACTCAGTAGGACTCTTTTCTGGGGAATTAGGTTTTGCTATGAACTGAGAAAGGACAAAGGAAACCTGCCACTTTCTGGGCTAGCAATACCTCAGGCATACTGTAGAAAACATGCTATGATTTTCATTTTTGTAAAACATATTATGATTAAAAAATATAGAACTATACACTAATATGCACTCTCTTCAACTGTTATTCTGTAGAAAAAGCCCATCAATATAAATACAGGATTTAGAGAAGTAAACCCTACAGGGTCAGGGTGACCTTTTTACTTATATCTATATTTACTAGAGAGCCTCAAAACTCTAATGACTAAATTATATATATATAATTGCCGAATATTCTGGTGTTTTAGCTCAATAAGAACTTTTAAGTCTGTACCTCAAAAACAACTAAATGGAGTTTAAAATCTCGAGCTTGTGACTCTGACAATAGAAGCAAAGCTTTCCCAGAGCTAGATTAGTAGCTTATCAGAACTGCATTGATTAATAAGACTTTGAGCTTTGAAGTCTTACCATAAATGTAGCATGGTGAAAGACAGAAATTTGAAGCATTATTCATTCTTTTTATATACCTTAAATCAATATCTTATCACAATTTAAACTTTGATATCCTCACACCTTACAAAAACTTGCATTTACACAACTTAAAACCCCTTTTCTTGGACCTTAAAACATTTCAAAGATCTTCAAAACTAAAACTTTAAATGTTACACTTTTTTCTATCCAAACATTCACAATGAGACAGAGGTCATTGTAACACAATTATACTTTAAAAAATAGTAAAAAGTTATACTGAAGTATGTTTTTTCAGTTTCTCTCCTTTGGAGTCTGATAACAGGGTAAATGATGACTAGACTCATTTGTAACTCCAGGAAAGTGAGGCCTGTGGGCACATTTTTACATATGAGGAGAACGGAGAAGGCAGCTGAAGTCTTGTGAAAGCAGTTGGGTGCTTGCTGCTGATAAAGCTAGCTAGTCAATATCCTCAGACATTTGAGAAGGATACATTATCAATGGAAATAAAATCTAAATGGTCTATGTATCAATTAAAATGTGAGTGACCCATTACCTATACAGGTTACCATAAAATGCAGTGTAGTCAGAAAATTTCCCCAGTCCTACCTAGCCTGCGGTCCCACAGACATGTATAAAATAATTACTCAGAGGCTTACATTAATTACAAACTGTATAGCCATGACCCTTGGCACAATTTTCTTACTCACTAGCTCTTATAACTCTACTCAGCCCATTTCTATTACTCTATATGTCACCACTGTTCCATGGCTTTTCCTGTGTGCCATTACATGCTGCTCACTGGACAGCAGGATGGCTCCTCTGCCTTTGCTTTTCTTCTTCCTGTCGCTTTCCTGGATTTCCTGCCTGCCTCTAAGCTGCCTTGTCATAGGCCAAACAACTTTATTTATCAACCAATCAGAGCAACACATATTCACAGAATAAAGAAAGATATCCCACAGCACTGCAGTTGTCCCTACAGTTTCAGTGGGGACATTAGTTTTTGGTCTTCGGCTGTCATACAAGACAACATAGGTGTAGCAAGCCCACAAATATATATATATATATATATATATATATTATATATTTATATAATATATATTTTATATATATTATATAATCTCAATTTATTAAGGGGTGCAATTGGAATGCAGACTCACTAATACAAAGCAAGGTACACACACTGATCTAGCTACCAATATCCTCAAGACCAATGGGGACCAACTGCAAGCCATTCTCCACCACCTGACCCAGTCTTGATGACTCAAGAATATGAATGACAACTCTCCCTCAGCTCCTAAGGGGTCACATATGCAGACAAAGCCACAGCCTATGTCTTGTGGCGCAAAGCAATTGGCTACATGGAATGAATTCCCACAATAAATAGGACTTTGGCTGCCAGACCCAGGTCTGAAATTTTATTCTGTGGAGGAGCAACTTGAGGGAGTGACATTATTTTTACTAGACAAAGTATGGCAATGAATCCAACAATATTCAGTTTGAGCAGAGCCCTGACAGCAGGTAAGGCATAGGGCAGTTTTCCCAGTGGTTAGTTGCTGTGGGATGGTCTTTCTGTATACTGTGAATATGTATTGCTCTTGTTGGTTAATAAATAAAGCTATTGTGTCCAAATGCCATGCAGAATAAGGTTAGGCATTCCATTCAAGCTAACTATTGTATGAGGAAGGGTGGGGTCAGGGCAGAACCTGCATATATACATCAATGGATAGAAATGGGTTAATTTAAATGTAAGAGCTAGCGAACAATATGTCTGAGCCATCAGCCAAATGTTTATCAATAATATAAGCCTCTGAGTGGTTTTTTGGGAATAGGTAGCTGAGAAAGATTCGTCCATTAATAGTTAGTACTATCACAATCCAGATAGTGTTGACCTGTGCTATCTCTATTCTTTGGATGTCTTAATGGTTCCTTCTATGTTGGAGGAATTCTATCTGCAATAGGGAGCCTAAACTTTTTCTTTTTTTAGTTTTTCAAGACAGGGTTTCTCTGTAGTTTTGGTGCCTGTCCTAGAACTCAGTCTGTAGACCAGGCTGGCCTCAAGAGCTTAAACATTTTAAATGCCATATTCTACAGATCTCTAAAGCTTTTGAGAACCAACTGTCTATTTGGTATGTCTGAATAGACAAACTTTGCTTGCTTCTAGTCACTTGTTTTAGGATTAATTTTGAAAATATATACAAGGGGCTAAAAAGGCTTATTCTTATAATTAATTACATTCGTACTTAGAATGACTATAAGTATAATTCTGAGCATATTAAAGAATTTTATCATTTAAAAGGTGACTAACCATTAGCTTATATTTCTTAATTATCTCTAAAAGTTACAATAAGTTAGGAGCTTTCATAAGACTAGGACTTGACATTTCAATTGTATTTAAGGTGACAGATCATTAACTGGTATTTCTTAATCATCTTTTACAGGTTACAAGAAGTGAGTAATTTTTCTTTTCTTCTCTCTCTCTTTTTTTTTTTTTTGGTTTTTCAAGACAGGGTTTCTCTATGTAGCTTTGCACCTTTCCTGGAACTCACTTGGTAGCCCAGGCTGGCCTCAATCTTACAGAGATCCGCCTGCCTCTGCCTCCTAAGTGCTGGGATTAAAGTGGTGCACCCGGCTGAAGTGAGTAATTTTTCTAAGAGTAAGATTATATGTTTCATCCCTGTTAGGTTTTTGCCTTAAAAATATTTTTGTAATGTGGCTCTTTTAGTATCAAGATAACACTTTTATGCCTCAGTATAGTCCATATAGAGACTGGCAATTTTACTGATCCTTTTATAATGCACCATGAATGAAAATGGGTGCTGTAAAGAAACCAAAATAGACATTCTGAGTTTGAAAAGGTATTTTCATGTCTAGTTTCTTGAGTTCTTTACATATTTTGGACATCAGCCCTCTTTCAGATGTGGAGTTGGTGAAGATCTTTTCCCATTCTCCAAGCTGCTGTTTTGTCTCACTGACAGTGTCTTTTACCTTACATAAGCTTTTGAGTTTCAGGGAGTACCATTTATTAACTGTCGATCTCATTGTCTGTGTGACTGGTGTTGTAATCAGGTAGTAGTTCCTGTGCCAATGCATTCAAGGCTACTTCCCACATTTTCTTCTATCAAGTTGGATGTAACTGGATTTATGTTGAGGTGTTTGATCTACATGGGCATGAATTTTCCCAGGAATACATAAGAATCATCTCAGCTAAGACCCTTAGGAATTTTAGAGAGGGTTCCTGAACTAACCATCTACTGTCATCAAATTGGTGACTACCCTAATTGTCATCAGAGACCCTTCATGCAGTAACTGATGGAAGAGATGCAGAGATCCACAGGCAAGCACTAGGACAAGTTCCAGGAATCCTCCTGAAGAAAGAAAGGACTGATAATATGAGGCAGGGGGTCATGGTCTGGTTGGAGAAACCTACAGAGTCTGCTGACCTGAGCTGGTAGGAGCTTATAAACTCTGGACCAACAATTAGTGAGCCTTTATGGGACCAACCTAGGCCCTCTGCATGTGTATGATAGCTGTGTAGTTTGGTCTATTTGTAAGACTCCTAGCAATGAGATCAGGACCTGTCTCTGGTTCTTAGCTGGCTTTGGGAACCTGTTCCTCATGTTGAATTACTTCAACCAGCCTTAATCCATGGAAGGAGCTCAGACTTGCCTCAAATTGATGTACTATATTTTGTTTAAGACCATGGGTGTCTTGTCTCTTTCTGAATGAAAACAGAGAAGAAGTGGATGGGAAAAGGGGAAGATTGGAGGTGGGGGGAGGTAATGGGAGGAGGGCATGGAGGCAAAACTATAGTTAATATGTAAAATAAATTTTAAAAGTTATATATATATATATATATATATATATATATATATATATATATATGGTAAAGCAATATAATGGTTCCATATAAGGATACATTTGTGGAATTATTAAGTTTGATCATTAATATATATAGCTATTTATAAAAAAATGAGAGAGGACTAATGTGAAAGAAAAAGAAAGTTGCAGAAGGATTCTGAATGTAGAAAGGATATAGCAGGAGGAAACATTTGGAATGAGGTACTTGAGTCTGGAGTCTGCTTAGTAGAAAGTTGGAATGGATGAAACATTCATTGTTTGGGGACAGGATTGGAAAAGAGACAAAAAGTGGAAAAGATTTTCAATGTGCTGCTTCCCGTCAGTTTTCTTGCTATAAAAATATCAAATAAATAAATAAATAAATAAATAAATAAATAAATAAAT